CGGGCGTGGTGCTTGGACACGCGACCCCCCCGGCGTGTGCGGTGCCAGCCTTAGCAGGCGCCGCTAACAGCGCTTCCCCTGGCAGTCTATGGCAGTCGAGAGGGTGGAGACGCGTCGCTGTTCATTTGCGAACGGGCTCGGTGCCTGCCGCTTTCCGCGCCTCGCTATTCACTTCACTCTCATGATTACGCGTCGCGATTCGATTTTTATCATCGATTATTGCTGTTTACCACACTGCACGCACACACAGCACACACACAGCACACACACAGCAGCATACATACAGCACGCATGTACAGCACACACAGCACACACAGCACACCACAGCACACACAGCACTTGCACACAACAGCACTCACACAGCACACACACACACAGCACTCACACAGCACTCACACAGCACGCACACACACACAGCACGCACAACACACACACACACACAAGTACGCATACACAACACACACAGCACGCACAGCACACACACAGCAGCACACACAACACGCACAGCACACAGCAGCACACACAGCATGCACGCACAGCACACACACAGCACCACACCTCCACCAATACAGCAAACCCACCGCACAGGACACGATCACACATAGCACACAGATAGCACACCCACAGGACGAAGGCACGCATAGCACACACATGCACGCACACAGGACGAAGGTACACACAGCACACACACAGCACACACATAGCACACACATAGGACGCACAGAGGACGAAGACACGCAGAGGACACACGCAGGACACACAGGAAGAGACACACGTAGCACACACACAGCACACACACCTAGCGCACACGCACAGCACAGACACAGCTGGCCAGAGACACCGCTGTGTGAATTGATAGAGCGAGCGCATTATTTATTCAGCAAAGTAGATCGGCAATGTCTCCTTCACATAACCGTCTCTCGACATGAACAAATAACAACAATTCTGGGACTGAATAACTTCAGCAGCATTGATTCGGCATAAGCAACACCGGGACCGGCTTCCACACGCAGCGTCTCATCAGCAGAGTCGGGCTGACATGAGTCATTGCCGGTGAACTGCCAGATGTTTAGAGGGAAGGACTGGATTCAACACACAGTGGCTCATCAGCAGTCGGGCTTGCCTAAACCAATCCTGGTGAATTGCCAGATGTTTCGAGGCTGGGACCAACCTGTGAGATGTGGATATGTTGGGTTAAATACAACATTATCGAGTAATGCACACCACTCGATTTGTGATTAAGTGACTGACTGATTGATAGACCGTGTGATTGATGACATGTCCACCAATTGAGTAGTCAGTTATTGATTCATTGAGACCTGTACCCCGCGACTGGATTCGAACCTAGCTGGGAGTGGAGGGTGCCGTCGAGTATACCTAGAGGAGAGACGCACACATGCAGATAACCGAGTGAGTAACTGGTTGGGTGAGTGACTGGTTGAGTGAGTAACTGAGTGAGTGGGTGAGTAAGTTGGTGGGTCGGTGATTGAGTGGCTGAGACGGTGAGTAATTGAGTGAGTGGTTGGGTGGATGAGTGAGCGAGTGAGTGAGTTGGTGATTGAGTGGCTGAGACGGTGAGTAATTGAGTGAGTGGTTGGGTGGATGAGTGAGCGAGTGAGTGAGTTGGTGATTGAGTGGCTGAGACGGTGAGTAATTGAGTGAGTGGTTGGGTGGATGAGTGAGCGAGTGAGTGAATTGGTGATTGAGTGGCTGCGACGGTGAGTAATTGAGTGAGTGGTTGGGTGGATGAGTGAGCGAGTGAGTGAGTTGGTGAGTCCGTAAGTGAATCACACGGTGAGTGGGTGAGTCGCTGAGTGAGTGCATGAGTGGCTGGGTGAGTGAGCGGCTGGGTGAGTGAGAGGCTGGGTGAGTGAGTGGCTGGGTGAGTGAGTGGCTGGGTGAGTGAGCGGCTGGGTGAGTGAGCGGCTGGGTGAGTGAGAGGCTGGGTGAGTGAGGCTGGGTGGTGAGAGGCTGGGTGAGTGAGACGCTGGCTGAGTGAGAGGCTGGGTGAGTGAGAGGCTGGGTGATGAGAGGCTGGGTGAGTCAGTGGCTGGGTGAGTGAGTGGCTGGGTGAGTGAGAGGCTGGGTGAGTGAGAGGCTGGGTGAGTCAGTGGCTAGGTGAGTGAGTGGCTGGGTGAGTGAGAGGCTGGGTGAGTGAGAGGCTGGGTGAGTGAGAGGTGGGTGAGAGGTGGGTGAGTGAGAGGCTGGGTGAGTGAGAGGCTGAGTGAGTGGCTGGGTGAGTGAGTGGCTGGATGAGTGAGAGGCTGGGTGAGTGAGTGGCTGGGTGAGTGAGAGGCTGGTGAGTGAGAGGCTGGATGAGTGAGAGGCTGGATGAGTGAGTGGCTGGGTGAGTGAGAGGTGGGTGAGTGAAAGGTGGGTGAGTGAGAGGTGGTGAGTGAGACGCTGGGTGAATGAGAGGTGGGTGAGTGAGTGGCTGGGTGAATGAGAGGTGGGTGAGTGAGAGGCTGGTGAATGAGAGGTGGGTGAGTGAGAGGCTGGGTGAGTGAGAGGCTGGGTGAGTGAGTGGCTGGGTGAATGAGAGGTGGGTGAGTGAGAGGCTGGGTGAGTGAGAGGCTGGGTGAGTGAGACGCTGGGTGAGTGAGAGGCTGGGTGAATGAGAGGTGGGTGAGTGAGAGGCTGGGTGAGTGAGAGGCTGGGTGAGTGAGACGCTGGGTGAGTGAGAGGCTGGGTGAGTGAGACGCTGGGTGAGTGAGAGGCTGGGTGAGTGAGAGGCTGGGTGAGTGAAAGGCTGGGTGAGTGAGAGGTGGGTGAGTGAGAGGTGGGTGAGTGAGAGGTGGGTGAGTGAGAGGCTGGGTGAGTGAGACGCTGGGTGAGTGAGAGGCTGGGTTAGTGAGAGGCTGGGTGAGTGAGAGGCTGGGTTAGTGAGAGGTGGGTGAGTGAGAGGCTGGGTGAGTGAGAGGCTGGGTTAGTGAGAGGTGGGTGAGTGAGACGCTGGGTGAGTGAGAGGCTGGGTGAATGAGAGGTGGGTGAGTGAGAGGCTGGGTGAGTGAGAGGCTGGGTTAGTGAGAGGTGGGTGAGTGAGAGGCTGGGTGAGTGAGAGGCTGGGTTAGTGAGAGGTGGGTGAGTGAGAGGCTGGGTGAGTGAGAGGCTGGGTTAGTGAGAGGTGGGTGAGTGAGACGCTGGGTGAGTGAGAGGCTGGGTGAATAAGAGGTGGGTGAGTGAGTGGCTGGGTGAATGAGAGTGGGTGAGTGAGAGGCTGGGTGTGAGAGGCTGGGTGAGTGAGACGCTGGGTGAGTGAGAGGTGGGTGAGTGAGAGGCTGGGTGAGTGAGAGGCTGGGTGAGTGAGACGCTGGGTTAGTGAGAGGTGGGTGAGTGAGAGGCTGGGTGAGTGAGAGGCTGGGTGAGTGAGACGCTGGGTGAGTGAGAGGCTGGGTTAGTGAGAGGCTGGGTGAATGAGAGGTGGGTGAGTGAGTGGCTGGGTGAGTGAGAGGCTGGGTGAGTGAGAGGTGGGTGAGTGAGAGGCTGGATGAGTGAGTGGCTGGGTGAGTGAGTGGCTGGGTGAGTGAGAGGCTGGGTGAGTGAGAGGCTGGGTGAATGAGAGGCTGGCTGAGTGAGAGGCTGGGTGAGTGAGAGGCTGGGTGAGTGAGAGGCTGGGTGAGTGAGAGGTGGGTGAGTGAGGTGGGTGAGTGAGAGGCTGGATGAGTGAGTGGCTGGGTGAGTGAGAGGTGGGTGAGTGAGAGGCTGGGTGAGTGAGCGGCTGGGTGAGTGAGAGGCTGGGTGAGTGAGAGGCTGGGTGAGTGAGAGGCTGGGTGAGTGATAGGCTGGGTGAGTGAGAGGCTGGGTGAGAGAGAGGCTGGATGAGTGAGAGGCTGGGTGAGTGAGAGGCTGGGTGAGTGAGAGGCTGGGTGAGTGAGAGACTGGATGAGTGAGACGCTGGCTGACTGAGAGGCTGGCTGAGTGAGACGCTGGGTGAATGAGACGCTGGCTGAGTGAGTGGCTGGGTGAGTGAGAGGCTGGGTGAGTGAGAGGTGGGTGAGTGAGAGGTCTGGGTGAGTGAGAGTTGGTGAGAGAGAGGCTGGGTAAGTGAGTGGCTGGGTGAGTGAGTGGCTGGTGAGTGAGAGCTGGTGAGTGAGACGCTGGGTGAATGAGACGCTGGCTGAGGTGAGTGGCTGGGTGAGTGAGAGGCTGGGTGAGTGAGAGGCTGGGTGAGTGAGTGTCTGGGTGAGTGAGAGGCTGGGTGAGTGAGAGGCGGGGGAGTGAGAGGCTGGGGGACGTGAGAGGCTGGGTGAGTGAGTGGCTGGGTGAGTGAGTGGCTGGGTGAGTGAGAGGCTGGGTGAGTGAGAGGCTGGGTGAGTTGAGAGGCGGGTGAGTGATAGGCTGGTGAGTGAGAGGCTGGTGAGAGAGAGGCTGGATGAGTGAGAGGCTGGGTGAGTGAGAGGCTGGGTGAGTGAGAGACTGGTGAGTGAAGGCTGGATGAGTGAGACGCTGGCTGACTGAGAGGCGGCTGAGTGAGACGCTGGGTGAATGAGACGCTGGCTGAGTGAGAGGCTGGGTGAGTGAGAGGCTGGGTGAGTGAGACGCTGGCTGACTGAGAGGCTGGCTGAGTGAGACGCTGGGTGAATGAGACGCTGGCTGAGTGAGAGGCTGGGTGAGTGAGAGGCTGGGGGAGTGAGAGGCTGGGTGAGTGAGACGCTGGCTGAGTGAGAGCTGGGTGAGTAAGAGTCATGGTGGCTTTGTGGCCGAGCGCGTGAGTGGTTTTAAGTAAGGGACTGAAGGCGCGTGAGTGGTTAGGTCAGTGACTGGTCAACCGATTAGGGCCACGCATCGGACTGGGGTCGGGACTGCAGCCTCCTCGGAGATCCACGCAGCCTCACCCTCTCGACACGGAGCCCCACGAGGGGGGGCCCAGTGGGGAGATGCAGAACCTCCTGGGGCCCGCGTGCATCTTCCTCCGGGGGGGCCTAGCCGAGGCCCTCATCAAGGTCAGGGCTGGTGGAATCGCGCGCGGATGGTGTTTCCGTGCAGCACTGCTGCTGTCGGAAGTTTCGCCGTGATTGACGATGGTGGAAAATGAGCGGTGGCTTAGCACGATTGGGCTCGAGCGCTCTGCTGCGAGGTGATGATACTGCTGCCCATGAGGATGCTGCTGATGATGGTGACGATAATGGTGGTGATAATTATGCCAATTGTGATGCTGATGATACTGGTTATGCTGATAACGATCCTTATGATGCCAGTGATGATTATGATGCTGATTGTGAAGCTGATGATGTAGGTGCTGATGACCTTCCTGATGATGATGGTGCTGGTGATGTTAATGCTGATTATGATGCTGATGATACAGATGATGATGATGCGGTAATGTTGATGATGTTGATGCTGGTGATGGAGGACACCCTGTAGGTGCAGTCAGCATCTGTGCAATCCTGGGATGGTGCTCCACTTATAATTTAGCGTGCCCACCGCCTTAGCAATGTGGACTTGACACCCTTGGATTTGGTCAATGATGATGCAAGTAGCTTCTGTCACTGTTCACCGGGGAGACGATGCGATGGCATACATATGTATGTTGAACTTCTTTCGCACCGTACGTAGCCGACCGTGATAATTGGAGGCATTGGCTCGTAAACCCCTCGGGTTGTCTCTGTGTACCCCGGAACAATCCGACCCTCGGGGTTCCTCCTCCCGCTGTGAACGGATCCCGCGTCGAAAAGGAACCGGATGCAGGAATCAAAGCGTGGGGTGGCTAACCCCTCCGTACAGGATTGTGACACATTCGTATGGGATCGTGGACCCTCAATACGGGGTCGTGACCCCTCCATACGGGATCATGACCCTTCCGTACGGGGTCGTGACCCCTCCGTACGGGGTCGTGACCCCTCCGTACGGGGTCGCGGTTCTGCTCCTAGCGCGGCTCCCCCGGTGTGCTGTCGGGTTGTGGCGCGTGCACCATGTCCGACGTTCCTTTGCACCTGCTGAGAGCTTCTGAGGGAACCGGAGCTCCCAGCACAAGTGCAAGTGTGAGGCGGCTCGCCACGTAGCTGCAGTTGCTGTCTCCCAGCTCGTCTGTGGTTCCTCCTGCAGGTGCCTCTGAGTCGCCCTACCTCCTCTCTCCTTCCACGAGAGCGGGGAGCGAACACAGTTCAGATATCGTGAATAGGGGCGCCACGATGGCGAGATGTTAACTACCTCACCTGGTCTACATCGTGGGTTCGATCCTGACCCTGATGCCGTATATTTGGAGTTTGTGTGTCTCTCTTTACGTCCCCGTGGTTTGCGTGGATTTTTCTCCGGGTCCTCCGGGTTTCCTCTCCGCATTAGTAACACGCATTTAGAGTATTTGGCTCCTATAGATGTCCACATGATGAGAAGCCGCTTCGTTAGGTGATCACTTGTGGCCAGGTCGCTTCTGAAAAAGAGCTGCATATAGCTCAGCGAGCCTTACCTGATAAATTAAAATAGTAGTCAAGAGTTTATTATATAAGAGTTTCGATTTAAAGCTTTCGTGACTGCAGGGATTCATATTCGTGGTTCTTTCGGTACAGTCACGAAGAAGGGAAATAATAAAATAATACACATAAAACAATAAAATTCTCACGACGTTTCGATTGCAACACAAGCAATCATCATTAGGTGTGAAAACCACATTTATGTTTTCCCTTCTACGTGACTTTACCGAAAGAACCAAGAATATAAAACATTCCTGCGGAGGGAGCTGGTAGGAACGTTGGGTTGCTCGGTCAATGGCCAGGGTCAACGGCGGCGTGCTGTATTCCGCAAATATGCCCGACTGTGAGGGCGGGCACAAGCCGACGTGAGTAGGTTAAACGTTGAGTTTTATAAGGGCACCACGGGGTGACCAGCCCTCCCCACCCAGCCCCACCCCTCCCACCCCCCACCCAGCCCCTCCCCACCCTCCACTCCCCACCCAGCCCCTCCCCACCCTCCACTCCCCACCCTACCCCACCCTCCCTACCCAGCCCCTCCCCACCCTCCCCTCCCCACCCAGCCCCTCCCTGCACGACGGACACAATAATCCTCTGTGGGCTGGTGTAAGCAGGAGGTTCCTACCAGTAGAAGGAGTTATTATATAGAGAGTTGTTATTATATAACAGTATACTCCCCTCGCCTCTCTCCCGCCCCGGACTCGTTGGACACAAGGAGAGGGAACTTCGCCCCGAAGAGATTGAAGGTGCGGATGCACAGACACCCCGATTCCTTTCGATGCAAAGCTTTCGTGACTGCAGGGATCCATCTTCTTGGTTCTTTCGGTAAAGTCACGTAGAAGGGAAGCAATAAAATAATAAAAATAAAACATAATAAAATAAAATAATTCTCACGACGTTTCGGCCACAACGCAAGCAGCCGTCCTCAGGTGAAGAATGAGACATTGCTAAATTCCTCTTCATATGCACATTCTTTTTGTTAAGGCGCTCTTGCAACCTCCAACGCAGCGTATATATTAGCTCCTAGCTTGGTAATGTCTCATTCTTCACCTGAGGACGGCTGCTTGCGTTGTGGCCGAAACGTCGTGAGAATATTTTATTTTATTATGTTTTATTTTTATTATTTTATTGCTTCCCTTCTACGTGACTTTACCGAAAGAACCAAGAAGATGGACCCCGATTCCCTGCCCACGCTAACCGCACTCCATCTCCGCAGCGGATGAGCTCTTTCGGGCGTGCTCCCATCTGTTCTGAAAACGTAAATTGCCCAGTAAACACGCCAAACGTTGACTCAACGTTGCGCCAACGTGTTTGTGTGTTATCCGTATATCTATTTACAAATGTGTTTATATATCCCATTGGAACCTCATTTGTCAGTAAAAAAATATGATAATTGTTTTTTTACCCTTCTATCTGGCAACAAAACTGACACCTTTTTTTACAAGGAGTCATGTTTGCATAGACCACAATACCTGCAGTCATAATGCAGGTATTGTGGTGCGCCTTTTGGCGTCATCTGGTCCAACCCATGTGAGACTAGGCTCTAAGGAAAGCTGTCTCGGGTGTGGACCAATCAACTTCAAGGACAGTGCACATTATCAGAGTTATGTTTTTTGTTTGCATTATGACTGCAGGTATTGTGGTCTATGCAAACATGACTCCTTGTAAAAAAGGTGTCAGTTTTTTTGCCAGATAGAAGGGTAAAAAAACAATCATTATGTTTATATATCCTCCACAAAGGGGGTTTGTGTTGTTTAATTTAGCATCGAAGCAGGGCCCATCTCTCACACGGAGCGCCCTTCCCTGTAAACATCTGGGCAGTGCACCAGCATTGCTTCAAGCGAGCTTCACTCTGCTGATGAGGACACCGAATGCCAAAACCCCGGTCCTTGCCTACTAACATTTGGCAGTTCAGCATTGGTACAAGCGAACCTGGCTCTGCTGGTGAGCCACTGTGCAGTTCACCATGCAGCATTGGTTCAGGCAAGCAAGCCTGGCTCTGCTGGTGAGATACTGAATGTCGAATTCGGCTCAGAGCTTGATTGCCTTAAACCAATAACTGCTGATGCAGAAAATGCACTCCCAGACGAACTCCGCGTGTGGCTGATGGAATGTCTTAGAGCATTACTCAATATACATTGTGTGGAGCGAAGGGATGTAGGATTCCTTCGGCTTGATCCGTATTTGTTTGAGCGTAAGGCCACGCGGTAGCGGTGTTTCTTATCAAAATTCTTCCAAAGGTCTACCCCGTGGCCCAACCCAAAATCAAACATGGATAATTGTGCTGGCTACCAAACCCCACGGCTATTTTGCCACGGTGGCGAGATGTTAAATACCTCTCCTGGTATACAGGAGGTCGTGGGTTCGATCCCGACCCTGACGCCTGCTGTATATTTGGAGTGATCGTATGGATTTCTCTCCGTGTCCTCCGGGTTTTCCCTCCACTTTTAGAATTACCGTGCGTTTAAAGTATTTAGCTGCAATACATTTCCATGCGATAAGCCACTTCGTTAAGCTCTCATTTGTGGCCAGGTCGCTTCTGAAAAAGAGCGATGTATCTTAGTGGGCCTTACCTAGTTAAATACAAATTAGTTTAGTTTAAATAGTTTAGGTGATGTCTGCGTATTTACATCATAGGCTCATCACGGATACTTGGACGTTCTTGTTGATTACGCACAAAGTGCTTGCCACGAATCAACCAAAATTCCTTGCTGCTCTCGTCAAGGAGCCTAAACCATCACGGGAATTTCATTCATCCTCACAGCAGCAGCAGCGGCGGCGGCGGCGGCTTCTGACTGCTGCCCATCGAACAAAGACGGTTGTCACCGCATCGCGCGCTTTCAGATGCGCTTCTGTGGCCGTCTGGAACGTTCTTCCTTACGATATTCGGAAGCCACCGGAGCTGTGCACTTTTAAGTAATATAGATTGGCAAACTAACTTCTTTATAAACTGCTTTTTGTGTTTAGTTTGTTGCCTTTCACCCGCACCTACGATGAGCATGGTTGGCTACGATTGGTGCGAAAAAAGTTCAACATACATACAACAAAGACAACGATCCCCCGTGTAGCCTTTACAGACTATTGGGGCAAGTGCTGTTAGCGAGCGCCTATGAAGGCCGTCACGGCACACGAGGGGGTAGGTGGCCAGCACCACGCCCGACCGCCTTTGTCTCCCAAGTGGCGATATTTTACACACCTCACCAGGTACTCACTTGAGGCTGAGTCGATCTAGGGGAGGCCCAGGAACGGTTCAGATAATCGTCACTATTGGTGGCCGTGAGCGGGAATCGAACTCGGGTGGCCGGGGTTCGTAGCGTAGCGGCCTCACCGTTGCACTCCATGCATGTACAGTTTGTTGAACGTCTTTCGCGGCCGCACGTAAACGCATCGGCCTGAGAGGCACGCAGCCGGGTTCGTGTAGTTCGTCTTTAATCCGCGCCGTGCGCTGACCGCGACGTTTGCTGCGAGTGCCTCTCAACGCCAATCACCGACACCACCGCGTCCCCGCTCACCCACCATCCACATCATCATCATCATCTTCACTCAGTGTCTCTCCCCATTGCTCACCACCGTCTCCCCGTCTATCCATAAGCGCTCACCTCTCTGACCTAATCCACTCACCACAATCACCTTGTGTCCATTTCCCAAGAGCCCACCGTCACTCACCACCACCATCACTCACATCCACCACCATCCTGACCACCATCGCCACCACCACCATTACTCACCATCACTATCACTCACCACCATCGTCAGTCTACCACCCTGCCTTTGCCACCATTGTAATTAACATCCCCTCAACGATCTCATCGATCACATCTCATCATCACCACCACCTTCGCCTGATCATGCTCACCTTTACCTTATCATCATCATCACCTCCAATACCATATCCCTAACCCCATCACTCCCATCACCATGTCCCTAACCCCATTACCCTGTTGCTAAACCCATCAATCACCCTGTCCCTAAACCCATCATCTTGTCCCTAACCTCATCACTCCCATCACCCTATCCCTAACCCCATCATTCTGTCTCTAACCCCATCACCATCATCACCCTGTCCCTAACCCCATCACTCCCATCACCCTGTCCCTAACCCCATCACCATCATCACCCTGTCGCTGACCCCATCACCTCCCCCATCCTGCAGAGCTGCGCGAGGCGTTCCGCGAGTTTGACCGCGACGGCGACGGTTTCATGACGTGCCGCGACCTCGGCCTGTGCATGCGGACCATGGGCTTCATGCCCACCGAGATGGAGCTGCTGGAGCTCTCGCAGAGCATCAACATGACTCGTGAGCGCATCGCACCGCGCTGCACCGCGCTGCACTGCACCGCACTGCATCGCACCGCGCTGCACCGGATCTCGCCGCATTGCACGGCTCCGCATCGCAGTGCACCGCAGTGCCCTGTAAGTCTGAATCCAAACACAAATCAACTGTATTGCTGCCAGAGACAGACTCTGCGGCAGTGAGCATTGGTGGCCATGCCATGCTGATGAGTCCTAGTGATGACGAAGCTCGTTCCACCACGGTTTGCGTATTTCTGCAGCACTGCTGCTGCCACTGTCACTGGCAGTCGGTGGTGTTGCATTTTGCTTAAATCCAATTCGTTTTGAGGGTGAGTTGAAGACATGAAGGATCACAATGCAGTTCTTCAGGAACTGCCGATGTTTTTTTTATTTTGCAAGTTTGACAAATGGCTGTGTGGCATTCGATACTCCAATGGATACCACGGGGACCGAGACGAGACTCTGCAATGCCTCAGATTTCCATCGACGACACTGAGACCGTGACAGCAACAACAACAACAACAAAACAGAAGAATCGCCGACTAAACCCACACGTGTGATTTGGGGGGAAGGCAGCTCGTGTGATAATGGCGATGGTGGTGGCTGGGTCCCCTACAGGCCAAAATAAGCTAACACTATTTTTTGTTTCACCAGGTAAGCCCCACTGAGCTATTTAGATTTCAGAAGCGACCTGGCCACAAATGATAGCTCAACGCAGTGGCTCATCGCGTGGAAATGTATAGCAGTAGCCAAATGCTCTAAACGCATCTTTATTCTAAATGTGGAGGGAAAAACCGGAGGACCTGGAGAAAAATCCACACGATCACGGGGGGGAGAGAGAGACACGCAGACTGCAAATACACATCAGGCGTCAGGGTCGGGATCCAACCCAACGACCTCCTGCATGCCAGGCGAGGTATTTAACATCTCCTAGCCACCGTGATGATGATGAGAGAGAGACACGCAAACTCCAAATATACAGCAAACGTCTGGGTCGGGATCGAACCCACGACCTACTGTAGACCAGGAAAGGTAGTTAACATCTCCTAGCCACCGTGATGATGATGAGAGAGAAACACGCAACATCCAAATATACAGCAGGCGTCAGGGTCGGGATCGAACCCAACGACCTCCTGTAGACCAGGCGAGGTAGTTAACATCTCCTAGCCACCGTGGCACCCAATGCAGCCCAGTGAGTCAAGGGCGAGGCGGAGTGCGCGTCTGCTGGGGCACGAGGAGTCGTTGGGGTTCTCTCATTCATCGTTACAGCGATCTTACCAAGTAGGAGGAGGATGTGCTGGTGGGGATAACGCCATGACAATGATGCTACTGTTATTAGAGCCGATTGTGTAAGTGTGTTATTACGTTGTTGAGCCAGCTGGACCAGGATTGGGAAAAACGTAGTCCTCCACTTTTTTGCCGAGGCAACTGGAGAGCACAGCCAAAGAGTTACTAGACGCGCATTAAAACTGCCTGCACTCTATCATTCATCTCACGCGATAATACCACACAGGGTTTGCGTGGGATCACTAACCCCAACACGCCTCCCTCTCACCGTGCACCTCCCACCGTGCCCCTCTCCCCCTGCCCCTCTCTCTGCACCCCTCTCCCCCTGCCCATCTCCTCCTGCTCTTCCCCCCCCCTTACCCTCTCCCCCTTCCCCTCTCCCCGCGTCCCCGTGGTGGCAGAGGGTGGCCGCGTGGACTTTGAAGACTTTGTGGAGCTGATGGCCCCGAAACTCCTGGCGGAGACGTCGGGGATGGTGGGGATCAAAGAGCTGAGGGACGCCTTCCGTGAGGTCCTCTCTCCACTCACCATCCTCACCCTCAAAGACAACGCTCCCCCGTGTAGCCTTATCAGACTGTTTGGGTCAAATGCTGTCAGCGAGTAGCCCCTATGAGGACCAGAACGGGCACACCAGGTGGTGGGTGTGTCAGCATCACGCCCGGCCGCCTTTGTCTCCCCAGTGCTGATGTTTTTCACACCATACCGGATACCTATGTAGTGGGTTCTACGGAGGCACACACTTGAACTTGGAAGCAACACGTTTATTCCTAGGGGTAACTACATACACGTAACAATGGGTTAACTAGACCACAACAGGGTAACTACATAACCGGGTCAGTCAGCTAACACACTGCCTGACCCACGATGCCAAAGACCGAAGAGACGTAGCATCCAAGTTTCCATTCCAGCAGACAGCCCCGATTGCTCTCGGGACTTCCCTTTTATGCTCCCGAGCGTGGCCTCGCTCTGCCTCCGGGCACGCCCCCTTCTGGATCTCAGCAGAAGGTTCTCGACCCAGCACCACGTGTCCCTCAAGCCACCCTTTGGGCCCCCCTCGCTACCCTGTCCCGGTCACGTGCCCTCTCGGGTTCACCCAGACTGTCATGTGCTCACTTGCCCTCTCTCTGACCGTCACCAGAACCGTGCCCCCTAGGGCCCGCTTCCATGCCAAACCTACGCTGGTTCCAGAGAGAGGCCCAAGACGCACAGTTCCACTCTTGTGACAGCTGGCGCTAAACGCCATAATGACTCCATTTACGTCACTACACCTATTTGAAGCGGAGTCGACCTAGGGGAGGCCCAGAAGCGGTTCAGATAATTGTCACTGGTGTTGCTCATGAGCGATAATCAAACTCGGGTATGTAGCGCAGCGCACTAACCACTGCACTACCGCTCCCTGCACCATTCTTACACACGTGCAGATCTCTGCTGTAAGTTTATATTCTGTAATTGGAAGCTGCTAGTAAATTAACAGCTCCTGCTGTGATCCCAGCCACCGTCAGCAAACGCGCCCACGACAGTGCTGACTGATTGATCTCCACCTGGGAGACTTCGAACTGCAATCAGCTGGGCAGCGGTGGCGGTGGCTACGCCGCACGTGGTTACCTGTAATCCAGCACGCTGGAAGCAGCAGCGAGGGTTGGTGGATCACCGCACAGATGTTGTGAAACTCCTTGTGGATGGGCGTAGAAGAAGTGCCCTACCCTGATTCACCAGGAGGTGGTTCAGCCCAATAAGGACTCCATCTGTCCAATCTCGATGGGATAGAGCGTTGTCCCCTCGCACGCAGGATTTTCTCCGGGTGCTCCAGTTTCCTCCCACGTTTAAGCACTCCTTAATTGGCCCGATAGCACCTTCATGAAGAGACAGTGGTGGAAATGGGCTGGAATGCCCCAAAACGCCATGGTGGGAGTGAAAATTTGAACCCTGTGACTGCATTCCAGAAGGAATCAAGGATTCATATTGTTTATTTTACTCCCAGAGACCCGCTAGGCTCACAGAGAGACTCACAGACACGCACAGAGACTCACAGACATGCACATCGACCCACAGAATCGCACAGAGACCCACAGACATGCACAGGGACCCCAGACACGCACAGAGACACACAGACGACCCCAGAGACTTGCCATCATCGGCGGAAGTCCCTCGGCGTTCGAGGATGACATCCATGAGGTTTTGTGGTGGCTCTTGAGGTGGCTGAGGAGTCCAATTCTGGATCTGCAGATCTTTGGGCATTGGGGGTGCCACGTGGTCATAGCGGGAAGTGGAATCCGCAGTGCCGGGTTGGCTTCCTTTTTCTTTCTGTTTTGGCGGCAATCCACTTTGGCATCGAGACGTTGCGTCTTGAAGTGGGCAGCGGCCTGGTGGATTCAGTAGCGTCACCCTAGGTGGCCGGTAGCCTACTCCTCCCAGTCTTGAAGGCTGATTTTTCCACGTTTCAGTGAGGAATTGACTGTATCCTTCAACTGCTTCATTTGTCCTCGCCTCGTCCGCTGCCCATTGTCGAGCTGGGAGAAAAGGATCTGGTGGGGAAGACGGTTCTCAGGCATGTGGATGCAGTGACCGGTCCATCGGAGTTGCTTTTTTAGAAGTCAGCTTGGAGGAGGACACTCCCATTGGTGCAGCGATCTTCCCACTTGATCCCCTGAATTTTGCGGAGGCAGAGCTGATGGAAGCCCTCGAGCGCAGTGACGTGGCGCCGGTAGGTTGTCCACGTTTCGCTGCAGTAGAGGAGCGTTGGGATGACAACGGCCCAATAAACTAGGAGCTTTGTTGTCCTGCGGAGATCTTTGTTCTTGAAGACGGCGTTGTCGCAGTTTGTAGAAGGCGGCGCTGACGCACTGGACTCTTGTGTTGGATCTCCTTGTCATTGGTGGCGATTTGGGAGAGATGACTACCGAGGTAAGGGGAAAACTCAAGCGCCTCTCCATCGACATAGATAGTCGGCTGGTCAGATGGCGATTGGTGGACGACCTTTGTTTGGGTGATGTTCACGGTTAAGCCAAATCTCCTATATGCAGAGTTAAATACATCGAGGGTGATCTGGACGTGCTGCATGGAGTGAGCTACCACGCAACAATCGTCCGCAAACTGCAGGTCGTGGATGTCCTTTGTGGTCAGCTTCTTCTTTGCCTGGAAACGTTCGAGATTGAAGAGCTTCCTGTCCAGACAGTACCGGATGCTGACTGCAGATGGAAGGTGACCTTGGACGAGGAGGGTGATCATGACCATATAGATAGTGAATAAGGTAGGGGCGATCACGCAACCCTGTCTGACACCCATTCGGATCTGAAAGGCATCCATTTAAAATGCCCCACTCACACGGTGGCGGGTCATACCGTCGTGTAGGAGCCGCAGGATGGGCTCTGGACAGCCAAGACGGTGGAGGATACTTTAAAGGGCTTCCCGGTCGAGAGAGTCAAATACCTTGGTTAGGTCGATGAATGCCAAGAACGGTTCTTGATGCTGCTCCCGACACTTTTCTTGAATTTCGGGCAGCAAAATATATTCAGTGGCCCGGGATGGTCGGAATCTGCACTGTCTCTTTGGTAGGACCTCAGCAACGGGATGTGGGACAGGATCTTTCTTGCGATGAACAAGAGGGGGATCCCTCTGTAGTTTCCACAGCAAGACTCGTCCCCCTTCTTGAAAATTGTTCCTATGGTCGCATCCCCGAGGTCGCCGGGGAGGTCTTCTTCGTACCAGATTCGGATGATCAACTTATGGAGCCTTGAAGTAAGCAGGGTATCTGCCAGCTTGGAAGAGTTCAGCTGGGATGCCATTCTGACCGCAGGCTCCATTGGACTTAATGGTTGGCGGCTTGCTGAGGTGTTGCTCTATTGGGTGTTGCAGTGTGGCTTGGAGGGTTTCATCTGTCACGGTGGATTCTCTGTTCAGGAGCTGTGCGAAATGCTCTTTCCAGTGTGGACGGATGGTGTTGTCATCCTTCAGAAGCTGGGATCCATCATGTGACCTGATGGGATTTTGTCTGGTAGATCGAGGTCCAAAGAAGTTCCGCAGAGACCCACGGACATACTCAGAGACCCACAGACACACTCAGAGACCCACAGACACACTAAAAAAAACCACAGACACACTCAGAGAACCACAGACACACTAAAAGACCAACAGACACACTCAGAGACCCACAGACATACTAAAAGACCCACAGACATACACAGTGACGCACACAGACACACTCAGAGACCCACAGACATACTCAAAGACACACTAAAAGACCCACAGACACACTAAAAGACCCACAGACACACTCAGAGACCCACAGACACACTCAGAGACACACTAAAAGACCCACAGACATGCACAGTGACGCACACAAACGCTCTTATAAACCCACAGACACACACCGATTACCACACACAGAGCAAAGCTCCTCCTCAGGTCTCGTGAGAGTGGGGGGAATCATTTATGAATTCCCCCAGTAATTTCTACCCATTTCCAGCCCTGGGTATAGAGGATCAAAGAGCTTGGGCAATTGTTGGTCGTGCTGGCTGACAGTGTGGCCGCTGCCTCTCTCCGCTCTGCGGTTCCACCTCCTGGCGCCTCCAGGTCGCCCTCCCTCTTCGATAGCGAGTGAACGCCGCGTGGTGGCGCAGCGCTACACCTCGAGATTATATGGAAGGGGACGGACATCCGCTCCTTGTGCGGTGCGGGGGTCGTGGGAGTTGTTTAACTGTTCACCACGCCGGTCAGTGAGGGTCCATCAGCACGTCCGGTCAGCACGGTTGGCTATGTAGAGTGCGAAAGAAGTTCAACGTACACGTAGGCTTTCGCAACCAATATCATCCATAATAGAGTTTTTTTTGGGGTTAGGTCACGTAAATATAAATGTGTCGTTTAACCCGTCATCACCCGACACAGCCAATTAGTAAGGGTTGTCACGTAGACAGAACACGCCAATTCATCACTAGTACAGCACACCGGTGTGTTGGAGAGAACATCCATTGCAAATGTTGTGGATATTTCGATTTAAAGCTTTCGTGACTGCAGGGATTCATCTTCTTGGTTCTTTCGGTAAAGTCACGTAGAATGGAAATAATTAAAGAAAAAAAAGAAAACATAATAAAAAAAATTCTCACGACGTTTCGGCCACAACGCAAGCAGCCATCCTCAGGTGGAAAACAGGTCTCTGTCTTCTCGACAGACCTGTTCTCCACCTGAGGACGGCTGCTTGCGTTGTGGCCGAAACGTCGTGAGAATTTTTTTTATTATGTTTTCTTTTTTTTCTTTAATTATTTCCATTCTACGTGACTTTACCGAAAGAACCAAGAAGATGAATCCCTGCAGTCACGAAAGCTTTAAATCGAAATATCCACAACATTTGCAATGGATGTTCTCTCCAACACACCAGTGTGCTGTACCAGTAACGAATTGGCATGTTCTGTTTACGTGACAAACCTTACTAATTGGCTGTGGAGGGTGGTGGCGAGTTTAACGACATTTATATTTACCCGATCTAACGCAAAAAAAAACTGCTATTATGACCGTACAGTCTGTTTTCCTATAACGTGGTAGTTGTGTTCCTGAAGAACGCTGCATTATGAAAAATAGCGTTATAATAATATATAATGTAGGGTAAAGCACAGTCCGCGATAATGTGTGAGATGCATACACAGGCCGAACAAACACGGAGGCACGTGGGTAGCATCTAGAAGCATCCAGCAGCATCCCGCCTTGGGTGATGCTACGCCGAGGCAGCCGTACAACCACTTATAGTAGTTCTATTCACTCGATTGCATTATATCCAATTCGCATCCACGTTTTAAAAAAAATTGTTCCCTAATACATTCCTCACATGATATCCAATTGGCGTTATGAAAGCATGGGTTATAGCAGAGCAGACTGTACATACGTACAGCATAGAGGCAGGAACATAAAAGTACGGTACGATGGCTTTCGCTGAAGTTCCCACTACCGCCCACCTTTCCTGCCTTTGCCGCGTGTGCGGTGCGTCCGCAGTTTGACACGAACGGGGACGGCAGGATCAGCTCAGCGGAACTGCGTGAGGCCGTGGCGCAGCTGATGGGGGAGCAAGTGTCGGCCCGGGAGATCGATGAGATCGTGCGCGACGTGGACACCAACGGAGACGGACACGTCGACTTCGAGGGTAGAGGCGGCGAGCGGACATCACCCACTACCAATACCACACACTGCCACCATCACCACTACCAATACCACACACTGCTACCATCACCACTACCAATACCACACACTGCCACCATCACCACTACCAATACCACACACTGCCACCGTCACCCACTACCAATACCACACACTGCTACCATCACCACTACCAATACCACACACTGCCACCGTCACCCACTACCAATACCACACACTGCTACCATCACCACTACCAATACCACACACTGTCACCATCACCACTACCAATACCACACACTGCCACCGTCACCCACTACCAATACCACACACTGCTACCATCACCACTACCAATACCAAACACTGCTACCATCACCACTACCACTACCACACACTGCCACCATCACCCACTACCAATACCACACACTGCCAACATCACCACTACCAATACCACACACTGCCACCATCACCCACTATCAATACCACACACTGCCAACATCACCACTACCAATACCACACACTGCCACCATCACCACTACCAATACCACACACTGCCACCGTCACCCACTACCAATACCACACACTGCCACCATCACCACTACCAATACCACACACTGCCACCATCACCACTACCAATACCACACACTGCCACCATCACCACTACCAATACCACACACTGCCACCATCACCCACTACCACTACCACACACTGCCACCATCACCACTACCAATACCACACACTGCCACCATCACCACTACCAATACCACACACTGCCACCATCACCACTACCAATACCACACACTGCCACCATCACCACTACCAATACCACACACTGCCACCATCACCACTACCAATACCACACACTGCCACCATCACCACTACCAATACCACACACTGCCACCATCACCACTACCAATACCACACACTGCCACCATCACCACTACCACTACCACACACTGCCACCATCACCACTACCACTACCACACACTGCCACCATCACCACTACCACTACCACACACTGCCACCATCACCACTACCAATACCACACACTGCCACCATCACCCACTACCAATACAACACACTGCCAGCGTCATCCACTACCAATACCACACACTGCCACCATCACCACTACCAATATCACACACTGCCACCATCACCACTACCAATACCACACACTGCCACCATCACCACTACCAATACCACACACTGCCACCATCACCCACTACCAATACCACACACTGCCACAATCACCACTACCAATACCACACACTGCCACATCACCACTACCACTACCACACACTGCCACCATCACCCACTACCAATACCACACACTGCCACCATCACCACTACCAATACCACACACTGCCACCATCACCCACTACCAATACCACACACTGCCACCATCACCACTACCAATACCACACACTGCCACCATCACCACTACCAATACCACACACTGCCACCATCACCCACTACCAATACCACACACTGCCAGCGTCATCCACTACCAATACCACACACTGCCACCATCACCACTACCAATACCACACACTGCCACCATCACCCACTACCAATACCACACACTGCCACCATCACCACTACCAATACCTCACACTGCCACCATCACCACTACCAATACCACACACTGCCACCATCAACCACTACCAATACAACACACTGCCAGCGTCATCCACTACCAATACCACACACTGCCACCATCACCACTACCAATATCACACACTGCCACCATCACCACTACCAATACCACATACTGCCACCATCACCACTACCAATACCACACACTGCCACCATCACCCACTACCAATACCACACACTGCCACAATCACCACTACCAATACCACACACTGCCACATCACCACTACCACTACCACACACTGCCACCATCACCCACTACCAATACCACACACTGCCACCATCACCACTACCAATACCACACACTGCCACCATCACCCACTACCAATACACACACTGCCACCATCACCACTACCAATACCACACACTGCCACCATCACCACTACCAATACCACACACTGCCACCATCACCCACTACCAATACCACACACTGCCACAATCACCACTACCAATACCACACACTGCCACATCACCACTACCACTACCACACACTGCCACCATCACCCACTACCAATACCACACACTGCCACCATCACCACTACCAATACCACACACTGCCACCATCACCCACTACCACTACCACACACTGCCACATCACCCACTACCAATACCACACACTGCCACCATCACCACTACCACTACCACACACTGCCACCATCACCCACTACCAATACCACACACTGCCACAATCACCACTACCAATACCACACACTGCCACCATCACCACTACCAATACCACACACTGCCACCATCACCCACTACCAATACCACACACTGCCACCATCACCACTACCAATACCACACACTGCCACCATCACCCACTACCACTACCACACACTGCCACCATCACCACTACCAATACCACACACTGCCACCATCACCCACTACCAATACCACACACTGCCACAATCACCACTACCAATACCACACACTGCCACCATCACCCACTACCAATACCACACACTGCCACCATCACCACTACCAATACCACACACTGCCACAATCACCACTACCAATACCACACACTGCCACCATCACCCACTACCAATACCACACACTGCCACCATCACCACTACCAATACCACACACTGCCACCATCACCCACTACCAATACCACACACTGCCACAATCACCACTACCAATACCACACACTGCCACCATCACCCACTACCAATACCACACACTGCCACAATCACCACTACCAATACCACACACTGCCACATCACCACTACCACTACCACACACTGCCACCATCACCACTACCAATACCACACACTGCCACCATCACCACTACCACTACCACACACTGCCACATCACCACTACCACTACCACACACTGCCACAATCACCACTACCAATACCACACACTGCTACCATCACCCACTACCAATACCACACACTGCTACCATCACCACTACCACACACTGCCACCATCACCCACTACCAATACCACACACTGCCACCATCACCACTACCAATACCACACACTGCTACCATCACCACTACCAATACCACACACTGCCACCATCACCCACTACCAATACCACACACTGCTACCATCACCCACTACTAATACCACACACTGCCACCATCACCACTACCAATACCACACACTGCCACCATCACCACTACCAATACCACACACTGCCACCGTCACCCACTACCAATACCACACACTGCCACCGTCACCACTACCAATACCACACACTGCCACCATCACCACTACCACTACCACACACTGCCACCATCACCACTACCAATACCACACACTGCCACCATCACCACTACCACTACCACACACTGCCACCATCACCACTACCACTACCACACACTGCCACCATCACCACTACCAATACCACACACTGCCACCATCACCACTACCACTACCACACACTGCCACCATCACCCACTACCAATACCACACACTGCCACCATCACCACTACCAATACCACACACTGCCACCATCACCACTACCAATACCACACACTGCCACCATCACCACTACCAATACCACACACTGCCACCATCACCCACTACCAATACCACACACTGCCACCATCACCACTACCAATACCACACACTGCCACCATCACCACTACCAATACCACACACTGCCACCATCACCACTACCAATACCACACACTGCCACCGTCACCCACTACCAATACCACACACTGCCACCGTCACCCACTACCAATACCACACACTGCCACCATCACCACTACCAATACCACACACTGCCACCATCACCCACTACCAATACCACACACTGCCACCATCACCCACTACCAATACCACACACTGCCACCATCACCACTACCAATACCACACACTGCCACCATCACCACTACCACTACCACACACTGCCACCATCACCCACTACCAATACCACACACTGCCACCATCACCACTACCAATACCACACACTGCCACCGTCACCCACTACCAATACCACACACTGCCACCATCACCACTACCAATACCACACACTGCCACCATCACCACTACCACTACCACACACTGCCACCATCACCCACTACCAATACCACACACTGCCACCATCACCACTACCAATACCACACACTGCCACCATCACCACTACCACTACCACACACTGCCACCATCACCACTACCAATACCACACACTGCCACCGTCACCCACTACCAATACCACACACTGCCACCATCACCACTACCAATACCACACACTGCCACCATCACCACTACCACTACCACACACTGCCACCATCACCACTACCAATACCACACACTGCCACCATCACCACTACCAATACCACACACTGCCACCATCACCACTACCACTACCACACACTGCCACCATCACCACTACCAATACCACACACTGCCACCATCACCACTACCAATACCACACACTGCCACCATCACCACTACCAATACCACACACTGCCACCATCACCCACTACCAATACCACACACTGCCACCATCACCACTACCAATACCACACACTGCCACCATCACCCACTACCACTACCACACACTGCCACCATCACCCACTACCACTACCACACACTGCCACCATCACCACTACCAATACCACACACTGCCACCATCACCACTACCACTACCACACACTGCCACCATCACCACTACCAATACCACACACTGCCACCGTCACCACTACCAATACCACACACTGCCACCATCACCACTACCAATACCACACACTGCCACCATCACCACTACCACTACCACACACTGCCACCATCACCACTACCACTACCACACACTGCCACCATCACCACTACCAATACCACACACTGCCACCATCACCCACTACCAATACCACACACTGCCACCATCACCACTACCAATACCACACACTGCCACCATCACCCACTACCACTACCACACACTGCCACCATCACCCACTACCACTACCACACACTGCCACCATCACCACTACCAATACCACACACTGCCACCATCACCACTACCACTACCACACACTGCCACCATCACCACTACCAATACCACACACTGCCACCGTCACCACTACCAATACCACACACTGCCACCATCACCACTACCAATACCACACACTGCCACCATCACCACTACCACTACCACACACTGCCACCATCACCACTACCACTACCACACACTGCCACCATCACCCACTACTAATACCACACACTGCCACCATCACCACTACCACTACCACACACTGCCACCATCACCCACTACCAATACCACACACTGCCACCATCACCCACTACCAATACCACACACTGCCACCATCACCACTACCACTACCACACACTGCCACCATCACCCACTACCAATACCACACACTGCCACCATCACCCACTACCACTACCACACACTGCCACCATCACCACTACCACTACCACACACTGCCACCATCACCCACTACCAATACCACACACTGCCACCATCACCCACTACCAATACCACACACTGCCACCATCACCCACTACCACTACCACACACTGCCACCATCACCACTACCAATACCACACACTGCTACCATCACCCACTACCAATACCACACACTGCCACCATCACCACTACCAATACCACACACTGCCACCATCACCACTACCAACACCACACACTGCTACCATCACCCACTACCAATACCACACACTGACACCATCATCCACTACGAATACTATATTACTTTCACCACCAAAACGAAACACATCTAAAAACCACGTGTTACCCGCTAGCAGCTTCACACGTCGCTATGACTGCCTGGGTTGCCGTGGTTGTGCCCAGAATGTTTTCAGGGGTTGTACGGCGTTTTTTTAGCAGGGTGTCCGACGTTTCGTTCCATGCAATGGGAGCTCTCAAAGAAGCTCCAGCGCGTGAAACGAATCGCAAGATCCGCATCTGATCGCAGTATCCTCCTCTTCCCTCCTACCTCCTCACCCTTCCTACCTCCTTGCCCTCCTACCCCCTCTCCCCTCGCTCCCGCAGAGTTCGTGAAGATGATGTCGCGCTGATGGGCGGGACCGTCCCGCGGGCGAGCTCGACGACGCCGCCACTCATCCCACACATCGTACCTCCCCCCCGACCCCACCACCCGGCCCCCGGACCCGGTCACCCTCTCCTCGACCTGCGCTTCCCTCCCACATTGAAACGCGGCGCCTCTCGGGCGCGCATGTTTCGTGTTGTTCCCGCGTGCCCGTTGTTCGGTGCGCCATGTCCGACGTTTTGCTGCACGTGCCGGGAAAAGCTTCTCCTGCTGGGAAGGAGGCTCCCAGCACGTGGAGCGGAGACGTCGCGCATGGCGCCCAAATGGCACGCGAGCGACTCTCGCGAGAGCGGCGGCGGAAACACCGAGGGGAGGTTGGGAGGGAAATTTAGTCAGCATTACCACCTTCGATAGCGTCAATCGACTGGGTGCTCAAGTAGTCCACTCTCATTAGCTCTCGACATACATGGGGAGTGCTGAGGTGTTGCTACATTAGGTGGTACCAGTTTCTGCTCTCGCCCGTGGGCTAAGCGTCTCCTCGCGAGTTTAACCACGAGTTGTCAATCCCTATCCTGTATCCAAATGTATTCACCACCTCCACCACCACCCCTCGTATAGAGCTGCTCGACACACGGTGCGTTTGAGCGACACTTTCCGTGCAAGCCGCAGCAATGAAGAACATATAACGTGACGCACCGTGCAATGCAAATTCCATTTGTCCTTAACGTCCTTGTGTGTGTGCGCGCGCGCGCGTGTGTTCGTTCCTTGCAAAAGCGAAGGCCCTTGCCTGATGTATCTTTATATCTATAACACACACATGTACTTTGGAGCTAGTTCTGTTAGTCTCCTGTTAAGTAAAGCTGCCAGATTTCTGGGAGGTCATCCAGGACATGGTGACGAGCCGACAACTCCCCTCCTTCAGGCAGGCCGTGCCGTTTCCTGTTGGCATGAGTTGAACACCAGGCCAGGAGAGCAGAGGCCCCCCACAAAATCCGGAGTTTTTGCGGGGACATTGGGACAGACTTTGTGAACCCACCGGGGTGTGAACCAGAAACATGGTAGCCACCGGTACCGGTACGCAGCGGCCCTGCTGTAGCAACAAGAGGAAACGGAGGAGTTTGTACTTAATTCTAGATTAGAAGTTTTCGTGACTGCAAGGATCCATACTCTTTGGTTCTTTCGGTAAAGTCACGTGGGTGAAAATAAAAATAAAATGAAAAAGTGAAAACAACTAAATTAAATCACGACGTTTCGGGCGCAACACAAGCGTCCTTCATCAGGTGGGGATTTTGTACTTTTAGCCAGAGCCGTTGTTATTGCACGCACACTGCCCGCATCGGTCCAGATCCATCACTCGTGTCTTCCCCATAGCGACCCCACCGTTAGAGTCGCGACCTCCGAGATAACAAAAACATGTCGGGACACATCATGGTAAAGAGGAATCTCTCACGATATCAGAAAATGGGAGCGCTGCGTGTGAACTCATCGATTAATTGGTGCATTATTATCATTGTTGTTATTCCAGTGAATAAATAAAAACAGGGACTTGTAAGGTTACAGGGAGATTGACAAGATTTGCCAGAATGGGAGCAGCTGCCTCCTGGGAAAACCGGGACAGGTGGCAACCCCCGAGTTGTTCTGTGAAGCAACAGGGTTGTCAGCAAGCTGCTGCTGTGGGGGCTACGTTGTCAACAGCAGAGGCCCGTGCAGCAAAATCCATTGTTGTACTGCACTTCAATGCTCCCGCGTCAAGCCCCTTAAATACATTGACCCACACTTGACCACCGTGGTGAAATGTGGTCAAATAACTTTAACAAAAAGGCGACTTTCGCAACCAATAGTATTCACTTTTTGGGTTAGATATCGCGTAAATGTAACTGTTGTACACCCACATCCACGCAAGAAAGCCATGAAAGTTTATATTATTGGTTCTTTCGGTAAAGTCACGTAGAAGGGAAATAATAAAATAAAATAATAAAAATAAAACATTCTCACGACGTGAGAAAAGTTTTTCAAATTTGCTTGTGGTGTTCACACCTGATGATGATTGCTTGTGTTGCAATCGAAACGTCGTGAGAATTTTATTGTTTTTTTTCCCTTCTACGTGACTTTACCGAAAGAACTAAGAATATGAATCCCTGCAGTCACGAAAGCTTTAAATCCATTAAGGTTTGTCACGTGATCAGAACGTGCCCAATGTATCACTTCTGGCAAACGCCTGATGCTGCTGATTGTAACCACCAGCGAGACATCGATCCGTCGATTGTAAATGTTGTGGTTTTGCTCTCCAACACAACCCGGTGGTGCCGAAGTAGTCACCAATGTGCACGTTCCGTTCACGTGACAAATCGCGATGACGTCACGCCACGCACTCGTCCGCTCCCCGTCGACGTTTTTAGGCGAAACGGCGTCATCATCGCCGCCCATTAAATAACCACGTGCAACGAATTGATGACCCCTTTGCTTTAAATCGCTGTTCGCGGTTTTCTTCGGCGGCGTCTCTCCCGATAACGACGTCCCCCCCCTCCCCCCCCCCCCCCATTTTCAGTGGAACTTCCTCTACAGCAGCAGCTGCACCAGCTACAGCTGGTGCTTTGTGGGAGATGTTCTCTCTCTTTTGGGAGTCGGTGCACGTCGCCGTTGTGTAGGCAGGCGGTGCAATCTCACCCCCGTGGGACGAACACAACCACGGCGCCCGCTGGAGGGTTGACGACATCAAACGCGACGGGAGTGGCGCTGACCACTGTGTGTGTGCGTGTTGCCAGCACTTTGAAACTCCGTGTGACACCATTCCATCACCACTTACCCCGTAATAAAGCCTCGGATTAACAGGGCCCGGTGCGAGCGTCATTTTGAACGAATGAACAAAGAACGGCGAGGCTTGGTCAGGTAATCGTCTCCATCCAGCAGTGGAGCGGCGTGTGCGGGTTTCCAGCTCGCGTCTTTAATTCGAGTGAAACTGCCGTCCGCCTTTGACGAAACCCACGTGGAAGGCGCCCGGATCTCGGAAGCCAATCGGCGTTGAGCCCCGGGGAGTGCACGGGACGGGCGGCCGCCTTGCTCGACACGCACGTGCCACAGGTCGCAGGGCCACGTGGCAGGCAGGAGAGGGCATTGCGAGTTAGAAGCAACTGTTGTACTGTACTACGGTGCCACACTTATGCGCCTGACACGTACTGACCAGCGGGACGGCGTGCTCGACTAAATGCCCGCAGGTGCTGGGGGACTTGAGCCAGCAGCGAAGGCGACTTGAAGTGGCCACGCGCGCGTGCGTGCAATTAGAAGCCACACGGAATGAGCCAAGGCCGTAGCCATGGAGGCAACATTGGGGGGGACCAAATCTTCCAGGGGATCTAGCCCCCCCCCCCCCCAGAAAAAAAAATCTAAATTTGAAAACAGATTTCCTGCCTAAAATATAAAAAATTCACTCGCATATGGGATGGACTTTTTATTACATTTTTGTTACAATGTCAAATAGTGTATTGTATTACATTGCTCTATCTTGACTTGAAGCTTTCGTGACTGCAGGAATCCATACTCTTTGGTTCTTTCGGTAAAGTCACGTAGGTATTAAATAAAATAAATCACGTTTCGATCGCAACACAAGCAATCATCATCAGGTGGGAGAACCTTTTCTTCTTACATTGTATGTAATGAGAGATTAGGGATTTATAAAGTACAACCATAACCACAATCATATAAACAGAAATCTATGCTTTTATTTACATAGCATAGACATTTGTGGTTTTAAATATTGTTTATAGCAATATATTGTGGGGGGGGGGGGGGACATTTTGAACATATTTGAATATATATTATAATTGCGGTCTTGGAATGAGCATTCGAAACACGTGAACAGGTGGTAGAGACGCTCACGGGATGACTCGCGCGAGACGCGCACGGGAACACACCAGCGGGGAATTGAGCTCGCAGGGAACAAGGGCAGGGGGAAGCTGCGATGCTGATGAGTGCTGGATTACAGCAGGAAATTAAAACGGACATTTCGCTTCATTCATTAAAACATCCCACCTAACAAACCCCTGGAGACGGGACGCCTCGCGTGTGTTAAGGTGGCCTGGTCCAGCGGCGGTGCGGCCAGAACAAATTAAAACCGCGCAACGTTGGACGTTACCACTGCCTTGTAACAGTGTGGTACAATAGCAGACGTTTTGGGTCGTGACCCTTCTGTCGAGGGGAGGCGAGGGGGGGGGGGTAGAGAGATGGTCGGCTTTGTGGATTAGAGGCGAGTTTTCGCCGATGCAAATAAATGTGGTTCGTTGTAATACGTTTCACAGAGAGCTTTGCATCAGTGGGCGCAATCATGGGGTAATCTAAGTAAAAAATAAAATATGAAATAAATACTAATTAGACACGAATGGAAGCTGACACTTTGCAACTCATTAGCTCTTCTGAGAAACACGATCTGTTCTTGTGATATTACTGGACTCAATTTGCATTGCTGCGTCTCCCCTCTCTGTGACTTACTCTCGCAAAAATGGTGCTCATTTTACTCATCCTCAAAGGAGTGATTGTTGTTTACCCTGGCCTGTTGAACAACCGAGTGCTTTGTTAGCGATGCCATCCAGCAGTCCCAACACTCCTCAATATTCCTTGACGCAATGCCAGAGCTAACTGCCGGCAAACTTTGAGAAGCTGAGCTACGGAATGGATGGCAATCTGTTCAACATCAACAGACTTCGATCTAAAACCATCCCGACAGCAGTTGAGATCCATTATGCTGACGACGCTGTCGTGTGCCCACTCAGAAGCGGATCTTCAGGAAATCAAAACTTTTATTAAGGGACAGTCCATACATGATGTCACGCACCTAGGGGGGGGGGGGGGGGGGAGTCAGACATTTGTGACGATGTGTGACAAGGGGGGTGGGTTTGAGAAATGTGACGTCACATCAAAATGTGCCACTTTAAATATAAACACGTTCTATTTGATTAAATAGACTTTTTAATAAATGTTTCTCTTACATCAGTGCAGCGCCACATTAAATACGCACTACAATGACAATAGCTTAAAGCGATTTGAAGCATGGTTTTATTTGGAGGGGGGCAGAGCTTTGTGACGTCATATTTGGGGGGGTCTGACTTCTTTGTGACGCCGTGTGACGTAGGGGGGGGGGGTAAAAAATCGTCCAAAATCGCGTGACGTCATTTATGGACGGCCCCTAAGGCATATGAATAAAACGAGACTGATGCTTAATATTTTAAAGACGAAGGTCCTCCATCAACCAGTTCTCAATGAGCAGTCCCCAGCTCCGACAATTTACATCCACGTTGAGACTCTGGAGAATGTTAAGCATTTCCCATACCTCAGAAGCCTTATTTCACACAATGCTGTTGACAAAGAAATCCAAAATTGCCTGAAATGTGCAAGTGCAGCTTTCAGTCGGCTGAGGAAATTGGTCCAAAACCAAGATTATGGTTTATCAAGCAGTTGTAATCTCTACCTTACTGTACGGAGCTGAGACGTGGATAACATGCAGGAGACATCTCAAAGTGCTCAAGTATCATTAACGCTGCTGACGGAAGATCCTTAAAATCGAGAAGACAGACGAACTGACATCAGTCATCTCGCAAACACACACCACGAGCATTGAGGCCACGATCATTCGACGTCGGCTTCGCTGGGTCGGCCACGTCGTCCGTCTGCCTAACTCCAGACTCGCGAAGCAGCAAAGTCTTCTCCTTCCAGCTTAGTCGGGGTGGCGTTCAAGAGGCTGGGCAGAAAACGCGTTTCAAGGATGTCAAGATGAAGAAATGCTCCGTCGACACGAACTCGTGGGAGATTCTTGGAGAGTCTATTACAAGGATCCAAACATTTTGAAACTCTACGGCAGAAACAGCAACGCTGCAGCCCGACTTGCTGAACTGGTCTCACCCACCACTCTCTGGACACGTTGTGCCCGAGCTGCGGCAGAATCTGCCAACCACAGATTGGTCTCTTGATACATCTTCGGACCCACAGATAATCCAACTTTTAATTATTGAAGACAATAATCCTCGATTGCGAGAAGCCCAATGATGACACACACACAGCGCATTCGCTGAACACGTGACTTACGAAATAATGTCTTTATTGAGACTTATAGGAAAAACACAAACAATATAATCTAGGCGGCAGTACGCAGACGCACAAGCGTTACTCGACGACACCGTCTCGCATAAAGGGAACTCTGCACGGGGGGGGGGGGGGACCTGGGGGGAGGGGCCTTGACGCGGCCCTCACCGCCGTAGTGACGTTGAACCGCGCGTGGAGACGCGAGCGCGGAGAGACGGCACACGTTCAAGCAGCGTGCACGACGACGGCGCGCGTGAGGAGGGGAACGCCGTCATGTGGCTTCCAAAAAGCAACAACTTTGAACCGTGAGAGCGAGTCTGCCAGATTTAGGAAAACGTCCAACACCTTCGGGATCTGCAAATGGTCGTGGCGCAACAGGGAGTGAGGAGCTTCCAGCGCTGTGGTTTCGGGTTGTTACCGCACGTTGTTTGGCACGCGAGCAACGTCCCCGGACGTTTTGCCACCGGGAGCTTCTTCAAGTCGGACGTTGTGATGAACACGCGGTACGCAAACCCCCAAGACACACGATCGTGCGCGAGAGAGAGAAATGAGGAACTACCCCGTGCTCATTCGCGGAGAGACCTCAACGCTTTACTTTTAAGAGGTGAACGTATTTTTTTCGTGGGGCATGGTGGAACAATTATGGGGTCATTGTTGCGTGAATATGCCGTAAAGGATCAACAGGTTTAAAAAAACTTGAACCAAAATATAACAGAAAACATTTTCCTGAGGTCCATGTTCTGGGAACAAGAGTTAGTTTCACCTGCAACAAAAACCCAAAGCCACGGCGTTTACCTCGCAACAACCACAATCGCATCAAAACGAAGGTCGCATTCCCAAAGTGACGTACTGCGCTCCTGCATAAGTACAGCAAAGTTCACAAAGCAGCTTGGCAAATGACGCAAAAAAACATCACGATCCCAAAGCCAAATGAGCTCAGCGTGTCGGCTTGGGTGGAACAATTTTTTTTAAACGAAGCCCAGTCTCCGCCCCGTTTAGCCAGGTCAACGCCCAAGCGATGGATGAGCGGCGCATGCACAGCCCGCTACGAGCGCCAACTTTATTCAACAACCGCGAACCTCGGCGCTGGGAACGAGCCGACGACACAAAAACGTTAACGCAAATAAAAAAGGTAACAAAGCCACGCGTGCAAACGTAACACCTGGGAACGGGTGTTGCTGGGGTGAGAACGATTTGAAGTGAAATAAGAGGGCTGCTAAGAACGGTGCTCGACGATGAAGGAAACACGGCAACGCTCAAGGCATCTGACGAGAAATTGGGGACATAGTTTACAAGTTTAAATTGTTTAAAGTCTCGCTGTACGGGGTTAAGCAAAAGGACTGTTTTACCACCGTTATTTAGGGGTGCCACGGTGGCGAGATGTTAAGTGCCAGGGGGGGGCCTGGTATGCAAGAGGTTCTGGGTTCAATCCAAACCCTGACGCCTGCTGCGTATTTGGAGTTTGCATGTTCTCCCCGTGGTTGTGTGGATTTTTCTCCAGGTTCTCTGGTTTGTCCTTCCACATTTAGAATCAACATCATGCGTTTAAGAGTATTTGGCTACGATAAATTTCCACGCAAAAAAAGCCACTTCGTTGAGCTATCAAATTCTGTCCAGATCGCTTCTGCAAAGCAGCTGTATAATAGCTCAGTGGGCATCACCTGGTAAAATGAACAGTTTTATTTTAAAGCTTAGCTTACTGAGAAGTGGTCAGCGCAATGCGCTATGAACCCGCCGCCAACTCGTGTTCTGTTCTATCGT